GCATGAACCAACGGAGTTGACGGTGGTTTCCTTGGCCTGCTTTGGCTTTGGGTCCGTAGATTAGGTCATGATCTTTCAGGGAAACGTAACAGGAAAAAAATAACAAAAATCATTTTGACCGTCAAATATTCGCCGCACCGATTTGGTGCATTTCAGCAAATTCCATTTTTCAGGCCCGACCAGTTTTCCACTGCATACTACCAATACCCCCAACGTTTCTGACCTCAGGGGTACTACCAGTACCCCCGAGGTTTCTTACATCAGGGGAACTGGTGGTTTAAGAGGGACGCTGGACCCGGTTTCCAGCAGGTGATGCTCCCCACCAATAGATGGAACGGTCTGTCAGCAAAGCCTCAATCCGGGTGGTTCTCTTACCACCACTGGGATAGAGGCCTTGCACAAGGGCCTCCAAAGAAGAAGAAGAGGAAGATGCACCACCATCTATCTTAAACCACCAGTACCTTGGCCCAGCCATCAGCCACAGAACGAAAAATAGAGTAGAAAGAATTCTCGTCAGATGAATTTGGGCACTCCTGCAGTGGTCGGTACGTTTCCTAAATCCGTGAAATGTATACAGGCACGCCTTCAAGATGTACTGGTGGTTTAAGCTACCTCTCCCTTTTCACCCAAGACCCCCATCTCCACCCTCAGCTAAACCAGCATGGAAACTGTTGAAATGGTGATTTAAACTGCTAGTAACACGGCCCCAGCCTTGCAGTTTTTGTCGCCACAAGCAAAACTCGAAGGCGCCGTGCGGCCAGGCCCGCCATTGAAAAAAAAAAAATTGGCGGCCTGTGAAGTGGTGCGGGTTTCATGCTGACACCCGCGGGCCGATATGTGCACCGGTGCTTTAAGCTACCTCTCCCTTTTCACCCAAGTACTGGTGCTTTAAGCTACCTCTCCCTTTTCACCCAAGGACCCCATCTCCACCCTCAGCTAAACCAGCATGGAGATGGTGATATTTCTTAACGTTTACCTCGACTAGCATCTCAGACGAGGTCTTTCCATTTACGTCGACTGCTCTTGGTTGCCATGCCTGACGCATTATAACGAATTGCGCGGCAGGAAAGGTTGGTGCACTGTTTTCATCAAAACCGACCTCGGTACACTTCCACGGAGAGCACAATCACAGCTGAGCCGTTGTCAGCCATGTGCGGTTGCCCACATTTGGCGAAACGTAGGGCAATTTGGGCAAACGACAAAAGGTAGGGCAAATGGTAAAGAGCCATTGACACCTCCTCAGGCTGATGTTACACGATAGCGTGCACTCCCGACACCCACCAACGCCACTCTCCATGCCCTAATCAGAAAATGCCAATTGTGAATGGATCTGTCACCACAACAAACTAAAGCAGTTGTCTGTGGTGCGGCTGCGCAGTGCAGTAAAACCAGTTTCATTTTTGTTTCTGAAATTCTTTGATAGAATCCAAAAAAAAAAAAAAAAAAAAAAGAGTGGAGGAAGGCAACCGATTCGTACTCAAAGAATCCATCATCAGACTAAAGAATGAACTCACGGGTATTTCTCTTTCTTCCTCTTCCTCTGTTTTCAATGGAACATCACACAATCATAAAATTGAAACGACATTAAAAAGAAACCACTCGCTGGCCCTGATAGGGACCAGCCAGCCGGAGGAGCTAGTTCGATCGAGAAGAAGTTTTAGCACCAACCCCCACAGGTGTTTCTCAAAGTTACGTGCGTTTGTGAATCCTGTAGAGATTGTGCAAATACTTTGTGCTCAAGGAGTTCAATAAACCCCATGGTCCTGCTGAACTCCTAAAAGCTTGGGACGTAAACTACATACACCCACCAGCGTGTCCATCAGCGATTTCAATCGAGAGAGGGTCATTATCGCAACGAGCTTCATTGGCTGGTGGGTCATTGCTGGTGCTGTACATAAATTTGCAGCTCCTATTTTTTGCTAAGAGAAGCAATCGGGCTCCGTTCAAGTATTTGTTTTCCCTTTTTCTGAAAAGACCACACCCAGCTTCGGATCCATGTCAAAGCGGAAGCCTCAGAAGTCTGACGAGCGCATGCATAAAAATGGCAGAAAGGCGCCACTCGAGTGGATAAGTGAAGAGTAAATTAAGCAAGTGCCCGACCCATGAGTGGTTAACCGGGACCCTCTGCCCGCCCGACATCATGTTTCCTACACCTCTGACGAGTCTCTTCGAACGCCGCCAACCACTCTGGCCAGACCTTTCTGCTCCCCCCTCTACGAACAAATGTGGCTCAAAAGAGCACGCTTAGCAAGCTGGCTAGTCACATGCAAGCATGCATAAGTCGTCATGAACACTGTAGGTCACAACTTCAGGTTCATAAGATTTTCCTCCCTGTTCAAAGTCGTGCAAAACGACCCCCTTGTAGCCTTCTTGTATCGCCGACCCAATTCAAAACAGATAATTTATAACCATATAAATAGATGGCACATGTTCTCGTTCTCTTCCTAGGGTGAGGAGAGTGCCCTAATCCTCTATTCCTTGGCGGAGCTCTCCCCTGCCAACGACAATTTCTGGGCATATACTACAGCCCATCACCTTCTTCTTGGTTGAGGGATATAACTCAGCGGTAGAGTGCCACCTTGACATGGTGGAAGCCATCAGTTCAAGTCTGATTATCCCTAGATTGACGAAACCAACTAATTGATTGAAGACTGTTTAAGTTTGAATTTGGAAATAAGACTATCTTTTTGCAATGTAATGAAATACCTGCAGATCATGCTCGGCATAGTAAAATACAGTGCTGACCTGTGCTACAAACTGTGCAGCCTGGCTGCAACAGTTGGTCGCCTGGGTAGCCAAACCGGCAGGCCTGGCGGGGCGAGATGCAGGAAGGGGTGCCGCGCAGGCCCAGCATGAAAAGACAAAAAAAAAGAGAAGTTTTTGAAAACATTCAAAAATACCAAACTTCAAAAGATCCCATGACAAAATCCAGACCCGCGTCCATGGAATGGCGAAGCAGGTTCCTTTGCATGATGACACTGCCGCTGCCATCATCCAAGACTCATATGCCAAACCCACCGCTGATGAAGGCGACCCTGCATCCAGCCAGGACTCTCTCTTATCCCTGACAGGATGTAGGTCCAGCAACCATGAGATGGTAAAAAAAAAAAAAAAAAAAGACAAAAAAAAGACAAAAAAAAGACAAAAAAAAGACAGAAAAAAAGACTCCTGTAACTACTACTGAACCCATCTGCATTGTCCACATATGATATTGAGAAAAACAGAGGCTGGTTGTGATGGATCAACACCTCCAACGGTTGTTCGCGTTAACCAGTAGCGGCGAGGCTGATAAGCCCTCGCGGCACCACTGAGGCCACTCACAGAATGCATGAAAGACGAAAGTTATGACGATCTACCCTTACCTGTTATAGAGGAAGAAGATGCATTCTCATTTTGCACATTCAGTTAGTGGTGCCGCGAGGTCCATAGTCTGGGTTCCTATGTTGATGCCAAGGTCTCTCAAAAACATCAATGTACAAAAATAAATAAAAATAATAAAATAATAATAATAATAAATACATCCCCCCCCCCCAAAAAAAAAAAAAAAAAGCATTGATGTACTGGCTTTGCTTTTCCTTTGAAACAGCTAAACTCGGTACGAGATCATGAAAGGATGCCCACACCTGGAACAGAAGCCACAAGTTGCCTTGACGTACTGGCTCTGCCATTCCTATGAAACGACCATACTCACTACGAGATCGTGGAAGGATGCACATGCCGCTCAGAAGCCAAAGTGGTGTCCATGTTTTCATGACCTCCATATCAATTGCAGATTGGACGGACTTCATATTCGAGCTAAGAACATGAGGAAGAAGTTAGAATCTTGTCTTGAAAGAGCAGTGGTAAATCCCTCAGTAAAAGAAGGCAATCACTGGTGCCGTCTCTGGGCCCTTCAGCCATAATGACAGGAAGCATAGAGCGGGTCATACATGGAAAGAATGCCAACCCTGTTTCCAGCTCTTATAATGAAGTTAAAGGGTTTTTCATTTAAAAAACAAAGTGGACCTGCTGCGGCTTCGGCGCGGCACTGGCCCAGTGCCAACCCCATCCCAGGCACGGCCATGGCACCATGCCGGCCATGTGACATTATGAGGTCATCCCGGTTGGATGGCCCCTCTTGGCAGGGCTGCATCACCCGGGGCGACCTGTGCCATATGGACTGGAGAATACCAACACCTCCCTCCCCCCCCCCCCCCGCACAAGAAGAAAGAACACAGTTGGGCACGACCAAAAAGAGAACAACAGGAAAAAGAAACACATGGCTAACATTAGACACAATTTGGCAGTTGCCACAGGGGGGGGGTACCATGAGTGGTGAGCGTAATTATCTGGCGTGGGTGACACCATGGGGGTTCATCGTATGCCACGAGGGATGTGTACTATTTCGGGTGTCGTCGACCAAGGTATGAGTACGCCCTTTTCTTTTTTTTCATAACCCCCAGGCAATTCAGAATTATATTTGTGCATGTGGTGAGTAGGAGACCAAGCCAGGAATTAGAGAGCACGGGCGATATAGTTGTCTTTTGAGCATGGGCCTGATGAGAATGAATCTTCCGCTAGAACATGGGAAGACACACGACCGTATTGTGTGCATGTACTTCAGGAATAGGGTCTCGCTCCACTACGCACGACATGCACAAAATGCCAAAAATATGGGGATGTATCTCTCCACGTTCCAGCGGAAGATTCATTCTCACTTCGCGCGACTCTTGAACTGTATAGCGAGGCCCATAGAGAGCAAGGGCAAAAATCCAATCGTGCAAAACGGTCCCGCAAGAAAGGAGGGGGGAAAAAAACGCACAACCTGAACAATCAAAAAAAGAAAAAAAAACACTGGCGAAAGACGCGTGGAGCCCAAAAAAAGCAAAAACAAAGAACTCAAAACGTGGCCGAAGAAACAAAACAGGGATGCTCCTTCTCGTACTATGTACGTTCCCCCTACTACTATGTACGTTCCCTCTACTACTATGAACATCTATATCCGTACATGCGCCCCCCCAAGAGAGGATTGCATTTCATTGGGCCCGCTCCTCGTCCCCCCGGCCTTTTCCCAGCCTCCCCTCCGCCCGGCCCTTGTCCCCCACCCTTTTCCCAGTACCCCCCTCCCCCCCCCGCTCCTCTCCAAAAAGTAATTGTGTTTTCCCGACACCGTAACCCGGGACATAAAGGGACGTCATGCAAGACCCGGGTTTTCCTTTATAAACAGTACAGAAAAAAAAGAAACAAAGCATAGAAAGCATGATGGGTGGGTGCTAAGTTGATAACACACCTCATTATACGCATACATGGTTAAAAGTTAAAACACCAGTTCACACAAACCTAAGTTCGATGGTATCTTCCAAGGCGCACGAGCCTCCAACTCGGACTTTTCATAGTGGCCTTCTTCCTTCACTGCCGGCCCAAGCCCGAATCTTCTTCTTTTTTTTTTTTGGCCCAAGCCCAAATCAGAAAGATCTTACCGTGCATACTGGGGTGAGATCAACTTAGACTCAGGTGAACTGGTGGTTTAAGATCCTCCAGAAAGTGGACAAAGAAGGGGCAAGGAGGCAAATACGACGACTAAAATAGAAAGGGAAAGAACGGACAAGAAAACCAAAAGGCAGGGCTAGAAGGGCGGTGAGATCAAGGCAAACAGATCCTGAAGAGGAGGAAAAGAGGGACAAACATCAAGCATACGGCAAGTAATCGGCGCAAATGAAAGTGTCGGCATGCGACGATAGCTCCAGATTGCGAAGCACTGTTGCCCTCTCTTTCTGAAAGAGACGACCACGGAGGAAGCAGAGGCTCACAGCAGACCCCAACCTAGAGACAATACTTGGAAATGCAAGCAAGTTTCCATCACAAAGAGCCGGATTCGAAACACGTGACCGAGGCGCGAACGACTACAGCGCCTGAGAAGAGGAAGTAGCATTTACACCATGTATTATTCAGGGCCACCCAAGGCATGCGCAACATCCCTGAGAAACCCAAACAAACAAACATACGATGATACGAGCAAGGAGCGAGGAAGTCACGAGAACCGATGCACATCGAGATTACCAAGGAAGAGAAGAGGGAAGAGCAAAATGCTCTCTAAAAAAAAAAAAACTCCTCACTCAGCAACATCTGTAAGTTGTGGCAAGATGGGTTCAGCATGGAAGCAAGCGAAGAAAACAGGGACTGGATGGGTCAAGTGACACATCCAAAACAACAAGCAAAGCAGGGAAGTCTAAAAATAAAACCCTCGCTTCAGGGAGACACTGGAACCCATTTCCAGGGTCCTAAAAATCAGTCTTGGACACTTTGTAGTGTCGATGGACTGAGAACAGGAGTGCCAAACAGGATTGACTCAATGTCTGCTACATCACCCTTCACACTGTAGTTGCAGGAATCCAAACCAGAATCCATCCCACAAATCTCTCTGCCAGTGGTGAGGGGTGGGTAGGCAAACTGCAGCAGCTAAGAGGATAACGAAGCTACCAACCCTTACTGGGGTGTGGCCACTGCTGCTAACGAGATGTGGTCGCACGGACCATGCCGCTAAATCATGTACTACTGTTCGTTCAAGGACACAGAAATGGTGTGAAAGCAAAACAGCGTAGGCTTTTCACAACATCCTTCTCATCACATCTGCATAACGGAAAGTAAGCGACTTTCCTAATCAACCGTCCCCGTCCCATTCTCAGGGAAAAAAAGTTCCTGGAATGGCGGAAAATTCGCCGGAAATAACATTGCCACAAAATGACAGAATTCCGGGCGAAGAGCACAAAATGGAGTTGGCTGTGAGCTATTCACATCGCCACCCACACTTCTCATATTGAAAAAACTCCAAATTGCAATGCACGACTCTCCCGCTTCCCAAAACTCTCCCCTCTTCTGCTGGCCTGATGTAAAGCCAAGAGAGAGCAAGAGTGAGAAAAGATTAAATCCAATCGACCTGGCCAAAGCAATCTGCACTTTGGCCATTGCCGGTAGCTGCAGTAGATGCTTGTTCCTCCATCACATTTGCTCCTCGACTCTAACGCCAAAATCAAGGGCCAGTTCCCACTTATTGATTCGCCATCTACAAATGGATCCCATCCAATTCATGGCAGGGAATAAATATAGGATAACATAATCATATCGTATGTGGGCGGCCTTTTTCGGAGTTGGGAATGGCAGCAACATATGCTAGAAAGGAATAAATGAACCAACAACACAACACACTCTGTTTACGTAAGCGACCGGAAGTGGGTCATAACATTGTGCCTGCAGTCACCTTAGATAGAGCGTGGTGCATACACAGGACATCATTCTCATACAGTCAGCACACAATCTCTCATCAACTGACAAACTCTGATAGCTCCTAGGCTACGTGGCAGACCTGTGAACGGAAAAGGCGACTAACCTGATAAATAACTCTGAAGACTTGCATTTGAAGTCTTCCCACCGCAGTCAGAACGCCGCAGGCTCCATTAGATGGTTGACAGCACTAAGCCTTAATGAACTTGACAATGTATCGACGTTTACACACACCCCGCCAAACATTTACTGGAGTTAAGGCGACCGATCGTGCATTGGAATATCTGGCAGGCAATGATGTGCCATGCCAGATTCCATATCAACACTTACACGTACCTCGCCAACAATTTACTGCGGTTGGTCGCGACTGATCCTGCATGACATTAGCAGCCCCAGAACGACGTGTCGTGCCGCTACTGTAGCAAGCGCTTCATGTTCTGGTTTCACACATGTGAATCAACACAGATGGAGTCTTCGCGGCGGTAAAACCTACTTAATTTCATTTGGTGATCCCGGGGGGCACGCAACCCGTGCCACATTCTGCATCTGGTAGCCTGCCACAGGAACGCCGATGCCTTCGGTCTGGATGTTTACTACGCCAACAAGATCCAGTCAAATGAACAACACAGGGGAAAAAAAGGAGCGCTTCCTCAGAGATCCAGCAGGCTACAGAGAGTTCGAACCAAGGATTTCGGCAGGAACGTTTGATGCGTCTGTGTGTAAACCTGGGGCTTCAGCTCTTGAATTCTTCCCATTTTTCAGTCGCGTGTGTTTGAGCAGCCCAGCCGTTGTTCAAGGGAAGCAAATTTCCAACCTGAGGATTTGGTTGCGGACAAGGTTGATCAGCCTCCAATCCAAGAAGATCTGTAACTTGCGGGGAAGACTGAGAGGTTGACGCGCGAGGAATGGGAGGAATCTTTTTGGGGATGGAGGTGGTGGTGGTGGTGGTGTCAGGGACCTGTGAAGTCTGTGTGGTTGAGAGCATGTCCCAAACTGAACCCGATGCCGCTGTAGGACTTGGGCCCTGGCTGCTTCTGCTCTTGGCGGTCCCGTTTGGTGATGCGAAATCATGATGAGTGTCGGTTCGTGACCCTCTTCTTGAGGGCTGTCTCTGTACTGGGGAGTCCCATCTTAAACCGCTCTTTCCAAAGCAAACACAAACCCGGTGATCTGCATCTCCAGGCATGCCTGTCACGGACCTCACACTGAAGAGAAGCACGACACCTTTTTCAGAATCCTCCTCACAATCGCTAGCTTGCAACTCCACATCGACAGACTCCCCTGGAGGGATCTCAGCTGCAGCTGGTGTGACCTGAAGCCAGTGCGGAAACCCCCCTGCACCTCTCCCCTCTATGTCAAGTGGCCCTGAGGACAACTTGCCATGCTCACATCCACATTCACATTTACCAGTTATGGGGATTCCCTCAGCTGTTACGGCGAAAACGATTGGCTCCTTCTCATTGAGATTGGTCACACTGACAACCTGTACAGAGTAGCTACCCAACAAAACACGGTGAGGACCAACTGAAGCCTTTACAGCACGCGTAGCTGCTTGGAGATCACTGACAATGCGCTCATTTGTATGCATGACATGATTATACTCGTATCGTCTTCGCCTTTCATTTACAATGGCTAGCTCGACATCCAGCACAGCATAGACAGGCTTGTGATCACTCTCATAGATGTCCAGGCAAGTGCCATACCTGTCACGGCACAACAATCAGTCATGGGACAATTTGACAGAAATCAGAACAAGTGGATATGTGTGTTAACTGATCAAATTGCCAACTCGTCCACTCGTTTAATCATCCACCCTATCTGTCTAAAACAGGCATTGACAGAGCACGCTCCTTGCGAGTCTCCCTCCTATTGCTTCCATTTCAGCCCCTTCTCGGTGTTTCTCCCATATCCCGTCTCAGTGTTTCTCCTCACATTCACTATCTGCAAAGCAGACGGAGAGGCCAGCCCTCGACATTACCATCGTCCCCCCAAAAATAGAACGTAGGTAATAATAACGGTGTTTGGGGGGGACTCTCAGTCTAGACACAGCGATAATGACCGTACATTCAATTCGGTTGAAGATGGTAGTGCAGACCATAAATTGAGGTTTGTTGTTGTGCATACTGTCTGCGGTTTTATTGTGAGCTAAGTGCTCTGCCTGCTACACGGTTAGGTCTGCCTTCTGACGCAACAAAGGATGATATGCTAACCAGGAAGAATGAAGAGGTGACCTGGTTGACTGTTTGCTGCACCTCCGGCAACCTGGACACATCAGATGATGGGACAGTTCCAGTCATCCGCAAATGCACCACACACCAAAGGCAGGGGAGGTACCGGTTTGCATGTGTGCATCTCTCTCTCTCTCTCTCTCAATCTCAAACACACACACAGGAGAGAGAGAGAGAGAGAGAGAGAGAGAGAGAGAGAGAGAGAGAGAGAGAGAGAGAGAGAGAGAGAGAGAGAGAGAGAGAGAGAGAGAGANGGGGGGGGGGGGGGGGGGGGGGGGGGGGGTGTATTCTTCGCACTGGCATACTATGTGGAGACAGTAGGGGAGCTTTCCACAACATATTATCATGGGAACACTTGAAGCTGATCCTTCTAAAGATTCTAAGGTTCTCACCTTTCCACTCTGACATGGACTGGGTGGCCAAGAGCGGTTCTCTTGCCTTGTGGCACATCTGCTGGAAAACTTGGAAACTCCTCATCCCCATAACTGTCTCTGAATAGCACTCGGTCACACCATGCAGGTACCCTCTGTTTCTCACTTGAGTCATATGCTGCTCCTCCATTCACAAAGTACCAAAAAAGCACACGAAAGAGCACACAAACGAGGCAGCTAAATAAGTGGGCCACTTCATCAAACGTCCTTATGACGATCTTCTGCTCTTATCACCTTCTCTGCATTCATCACTCTTTCCAAAAACTCCCAATGGAGACGGTGATTCGTGGCACAGACGGCTATCGACAATCACGTATGGAGGGGTTTCTGAACTGGCAACGAACACACTCTTGGAGACATGATGGCGTATGCCTTGACTAGTCTCCAACTGCTTACACTTGCTCATTGGCCCCCGTTCTGCTTCCCGCTTATGCCTCCTACCCACAGCAAACTGATGTCTAACAAAACATAACCAACATTTCCACTTTTGTTTTCGTACCTTGTTGAATGAAGGGGCAACATTAGATCTGGCAATTGGCATTACCAATGGCAGGACTCACCCAGGTGAAGAGCCACTCCTTTATCGAATTTGTATGTCGGCGGAAAAGACAGCTCGCCCTCTCTCATTCCCTGAAACACCCGGCCTGAGCCGCCTTGTGACATCACCATTCTCAGCTGTACCCATCAGCAATGACATGCACAGAAACCACCGTCCACAGATCAATATAGCGTAGACAGTCTTTCAGTGGCAATCCAGGTGTGTCACAGGACCCACTGACCACGAAGAAACAAAGTACAGCCACAGGACTTTTCCATAACAAAGGAGCACCGTTCTGTAAAACAATCGAGGAGATCATGCATAGGCTGAGCCCATGTCAACCTGTGCCAGAGCTGAGCGGACGGTTATTTACTTGAACCACTACTACCTCCACCAGTGTTGGGAAAAATGGCTGTTTTCCCAGTTTTTCCAAACTCTTCGGGGGTCGGCGGAGGCTCGGCAGTTGGGCCTTGTGCCCCTTCGAAAAGCAAAAAGGAAAACAAAAGACCAAGTCCAGGAAGGCCGTGCACGAAGTTGTGCTCACACCAATACTCACAAGAAATATCTAATTACGATTGTGGCCAGTTTCAGGTTGTCGTTGCTGCTGTTTTCGTTTTATTTCTTTTTTTTTTTTGTTTTCATGCCCTGCCAGGGAGGCACGGCGCGGTCCACGGGCTGCTGACACTTTGTGAGGAGGGCATGGCCACACTACAACTTCGCAGAATGTATGAGATCGCTTTCTCGCCCTAAGTTCAGTTTCAAAAAATAAAAATTCTCTTTTTTGAAGTTTTTTCGTTGACCTGACACCCCTGCCGTAAAGCCCTCACTGAGGCCATGCTGGCACAACAACTTTGAGGCAGGTATCTGCCTTGTATCACGTCCAGAGAAGTGTTCGTTATTTTCCGTTTTCTTTTATGGTTGTGACTACGGCATTTTTTGAAAGTCTGGCAGTGCTTTTTTTTTATCTTTTTCAGAAGAGCACGAGAAAAGAAACACAACGGACCCCAGGCTCGGCAAAACTTGGTGCGCAGTGAAAATCAGGGTCGGCAAAAACAGGCTCGGAGGTAGTGGTGGTTTAAGGGGCAAATATGTCGATGTCACTTTTGATTATCCAATGAGCAAAAGAAAACACGCGCCGGCAGAGAAAACAGCCGTCGAGTTCGAAAAAGCAACGACAGTACCAGCTTCCGTGGTGCCAGGCCAGGTGTCAAAACTACAGGGGTCGGCCGTGGTGTCAGATGCCGCAGAGGGGGAAAACAAACAAACAAACAAAAAAAGCCCAATGGATTCTTTTCTACCCAAATTGCCGTTTCAAACTCACGCAGTGATATCTCTGCGGGCACATGTTTTTTTTGGCTTTGCGAACTCAAAACCTGCCGTGTCCGCCGTTGTTTCTTTACTTAAAACATCATCATCAATGCTCGCTGCAAAGACAATCGACAAAAATATCGACGTGAAAAGTCTTGGGGTCTTAGGTTTTGGTCACCTCGAAGTTCTATGGTAAAAAAAAGAAAGAAAGTTTCTGCACTGTGAAGGCCCAGAAATACATCTGAGAAAGAAAGTCCAGGCCTGGGGTCAGAGGCAACCTGAGGCAGTCAAACATCACCGATTTCCCGAACTTTTACACCCCCTCAATGCGAAGCAATCACCCAAGCAAACCCAAACTCCTGAATCACCGACTCGTAAACCACGATTGGTATCCACATAAACACGAACCGACTTTGCAGTAGCTTCAAGACTTCGACAAGGTCCTCCACTGCAAAGGCGACCAGACCATCAGCCAGGGGGCTTGTGTCGTGGAGCAAGTGTCAACGCTGACAGAAACCCAAAAGCAGATCAGATCTAACAACTTTTACAATTCAAGCCCCTTTTTTTTTATAACTTTCGGTTGCTTGTGCTTCGTTGAATGCCCATGCCCATGCCCATGCCCATGCCAATGCCATACCTCGTCTTACATACCTGGTCATGTTTTCGCAGTTCTGCAAATTTGCCTTGTTTGGCGCACTCCACTGCGACTTCATAACTGACGTTGTCAAGACGGTAATTGAAATCGCCTGTCCAAATCAGCAAGTCCGCTTCCGCAAGGTCCTGAGTGGGCTGAGAAGAAGTTTCTGCACTGCCCAAGCCTTCCTGCACCACAGGGACGTTTTAATTAACATGACGAAGCAAACGGCACCCCCCCCCCCCCCACCAAAAAAAAGACAGCATTCCGAGACAAGGTCAGATAAAGTGCCCCCCCATTGACAATACATAATTTGCTTCAAATGATAGTTTGCCTTGTGAACCTCTCAGCAGGCAGCAGAGGTGCAGTAGCCCCTCAGCTCGGCCCCCAACGAGTAAGAGCCGGATCAGGGCTAGACAAGGACCTGGTAGGACTGCTGTGAGTATGCCCTGAGTGAGGGGCTTCCCCGACATCTCTTTGTCGAAAGTCGTTCGTAGCTGAATGTACACAAGCTGTATGTCTGGTTTGATACAGCCATATACCGAGAAGCAGACCGGAATCTCTTCTTTTCCTCTATTCCTCTCCTCCTCTTTCTTTTTCATATAAAAAGGCAAGAGCCTGATCTCGATTTACTCGTTCCTTTTTTTTGTTTCCCTTGTCTTTTCGAGCCATCTGCTGGCACGAGATACAACACTTCAGTTTCAAGGTAGGCGGGTACCAGTACCTCCCTCAAAGGAAACAACGACGTGCACTGTATATTGCAGGCTCGGCAGATAGCATTTTTGGGTTCGTCAACTTAGGGTCCGATGAGGGTCGGATGCCCTGGAGGTGTTTACCTCTTTCCCAATTACCCCCTCCACACAAGGCCTCCAATCTATCCTGAATAAGGAGGTAGAAAGAACAGTCCTAAACCCTTCTGTACTCCCAAAAGTAAAGAGTGTTGGAATCATGGCCAAAAACAATATTCAGATTCCAGAATAGATACGGCGATTCAAGACTTGGAATTTGATCCAGCAGAGTGGGCTTGGACACCAGACAGAAGCAGAAATCGCAAAACGAATGTCCCCATCCAGGAATACACAGTCATGCTGGGATACGACTTTCTCTTCAAAACAGAGGATCCTGACCCAACGATCAAGAACAGATGGCAGTAGTTAATAGGTCAGGAAGCTAGTCAGATCCCACAAGTACCATGCAAAATTTTCAAGTCAATCCGACCGGTCAAAATCAGAAGCCTCCAATGGCTCACATCTCATACGTGGCTCTACCGGTCAACCAGCGGCTGCATATCAGAAGAAGTAAGAATGACCCTAACAGTTCATATATATGTGCAGTTACGTTCAGAAAACGAACCAGAAGATATGATGCATTCCCTGATACACTATAGAAAGGCGATCGAATATTGGGCGAGGGCCTCGGATCTCTGGGACTCCCTCTTCTCGACTCCCCCCTCCCTGAACACCCCATCCAACTCCTATGGACTAACATCCCAAGCTCAATTCCACAAGACAGAGAGAACGTGGTTCGGACTGATCAGAAAGGTAACCTGTGGTCCATCTGGAAGGAAAGGTGCTGCAGAACCATTGAGGGTCTCTCAACTCCAAGGGAGAAGGTATGAGCGGAGACAAGGACCTTGATTCAGGCAGAGATTCTTTTCATAAGACGAGACACTCGATGCCAGATGACAAAGAGCAACAGAGAAGAATTTTAAGGCAAAATTCACCAAGGTGTGGCTCGCAGGGGGCAAAGTAGCTGTGATAAATGACTTTTGCATACGGTGCAAAGACAAGCACAACTCAGAAGCCGGGTGGAGAAGGCTGGGATCCAGCAGATGGACAAGATCCATCACAGGCCACGTAATATTGCAGAGCAATTCCACGATTGTGTTCTCTGCAGCTTCATTTACCTTTCTTGCCCTTTATCTTTTATAAACCTTCGTATGTTGGAAGGATATCTGACAGGTTCATGCAGTGGCCCTGAGAGGAAAGGTGGAAGTAAGGCAAGCTTTTTTTTTTTTTTTTTTTTTTTTTTTGAAAACAAGTGCTCCAATCTATTCCTGGGGAGCAGCACGTGCTGGGAACCGGGCCCAGCATCCCATATCGAATTGTACCATACTTGCAACCGTACGAGCTGCACATTCGTGCGGAGTTCCATGCCGGGGGTGCCTGTGCGGAATCGTGCAGGTTTTTTATTTTTATTATTATTATTTTATCTTTTTTTGGGAGGGGGAACGGGGGGGCGTATGACAGGAAGATGGGGATATGGCGAAGAGAGGGGGATATGGAGCGGAGGAGGATGATGTGGACGAGGAGGACGATGAGGATAGCGAGGACGACAAGGAGTCGTCGAGATGGGGGAGGAGAAGAGATGGACGGAGGGAAAAGAGGAAGGGCAGGAGGAGGAGGACGAGTGGGAGGAAGAGGAGACATGGACGGCGAGGAAGGAGAGGACACGAGGAAGGGAAGGACACGAGGAAGGGAAGGAGACGAGGAAGTACGAGGAGCAGGAGGAGACAAGGAGGAGGAGGAGACAAGAAGGATGAGGAAGGGCAGGAGGAGAAGGACAAACAGGAGGAGGAGGAGGAGGAGGAGGAGGAGAAGGAGGAGACGAAAAGGAGAAGGGAGGAGGAGACATGGAGGATGAGGAAGGGGAGGTGGAGCAAGGTGAGGAGGCAGTACTCCTATAATTTTTTTTTTCATCTCGCTCATAATTTTGGCGGGGAGCCTCAAGCGCACAGTCTCGACCACGGCCTTTTTTTTTTTTCTCAGGGGGGTGACGGGTCGTTTTCCGCAAACGTTGTGCCCCGCACAGGATCGGTTGGGCGCATGCGCCACACGTAGGGAACGGCCCGCACGACGTGCGCTTGCATGTATGAATTGTACAGATCATTGAGAACATTTGAGATACCGCGGCCATTACTCGGCTTCGGCTGAGAACAGTCTGAGAACATGATGTGATTCAGAAAGCATGGGGAGGATCATGAATATCTAATGACCTATTAAGGAACTACTCGTGGAATAGGCTGCCACAGAGGTCCTACGAATGCTCACAACCCTCAGGATCCCTTTTTTTTTTTTTTTTTTTTTTTTGGGGACAAGGCTCCAATCTATTCGTGGGGAGCAGCACGCGCTGGGAACCGGGCCCAGCGTCCCATATGGAAATTTACATCGAATTTTGAAAGTTATACCGGGGCCATTACCCGGCTTTGACTGAGAGAACTTTGAGAGAATTTTGAGCTACTTAGAAAATTACTACGACAAACTACAGAAAAAAGGTCTGCCCACAACAAAACATGCCACCACAGAGGTCCTACAAATGGTCAAAACCCTGTGGATCCCTAGCAACTCTTCTAAAGCTCTCCAGCACTGTCTTACTCCCTGCCGAGCTCTTCCAGACCTCACATCCCCACCCTGCTGGGTTACAGGGCAACACGACTCGCCCCAGCTCTGGCCAGCGTCGTCCCAGCAGCAACCCTTGGTTGTCCCTTGGAATGCCCACCCCAAAGCATCCCCAGATCTCTCAACCAGGCCTCACACTCCTGCATCAGCAGGTTACAGGGCAACACCCCAGCACCGGCCAGCGTCGTTGTGGCATCGAACAGCCGCAGATCACTGAGTATATCAGCAATGGAGCCGTCCAAGATGAGTTGCTAGAAGTCCCCAGAATCTTAAATCATTCTTAAGACCCCCATTGGCAACCAAAACCAACAAACCATGGATAAAGGAAAAACTCAGAAACATTCATGGCGACTACTCAAAACTCTACCAAGTCACTAGAATATGTGCCAAAAAGCCTCCCAACCACGAATCAGATAGGTGAGACCTATTCAATCCACCTACAACCACCACCAGCATGGCTGTTTTCAGCACGAACCGAAGCTCTCCCAGGCCTCATGCTCCCATCAGGTTAGGTTACAGAGTTGCACCACCTTGCTCCAGCACCGGCCAGCATTGCTCCAGTTACGACCCCGATGACCACTGAGACTGGCCCCGCAAACAGCCCCCAGATCTCTTTACCAGGCCTCACGCCCCCACTAAGCTAGGTAGCCCCCCAGATCTCTTTACCAGGCCTCACACCCCCACTAAGCTAGGTCACAGAGTTGCGCCACCTTGCTCCGGCTCCGGCCAGTGTTGCTCCAGCATCGGTCTTCAAGGGCCACCGAATTTTCGACCACCCTTCGCAGGATCACAGATGACTTGCCAGGTAGCACCTATTCCTACAACCTCCTCGAGAGGCAAATCAAATGGAAAGACATGGAAAGAAATACTAAACTGGATGTTAGAATTCTTCGAGAGAGATCGCCCCTCCCTCCCCCTAACCCTCCCCCCTCAGCCCTACACTGCCTCCGCTGGGGTGAGTCACCCACTGTCCCTCGACCCCAATATAGGACCAACCCTCTACCCCTCTTTCCCCAGGAGCGCGCAGTTCCCACCTAAAGCATGGCCCCCCACCCCTTGCCCATTTCTGCCTCCGCTGGGACTGACGTTGACCCACACACCAGCCCCTGCCCCAGAATAGGGCAACCCCCTACTCCGCCCCTACCCTCTTTAAGACATTCACTCCCCACCCTGTGATGGCCCTGCAAGGTAGAGCTCCCCCCACCCCCTTCTTACCTGTCAGCCCTCCAGGAACGATCCGATCCAGCCGACTACGGTTGTTGATGGCACACTTACCAAAATGTCGATCGCAATTTGCAAAGCAAGGCCTCTTCAAAAATATGCAGCTCCCTCCATATGCACGAATCACCAATTTAAGAGAAGTAAAAAACTAATTATCGGAGAGTCTTCAAAATTTATAGCTATAATAGTAGGATTCCAAAGTTTTCGGGTTCCAAGCTTAGAAAATCGTGACAGAACTTTACTTGGGACTTTAGAAATTATAGTCGAAATTCAAGTTTACGTAATTATAGAACAGATCCCTACGAATTGTGCTGACGATTCAGAATGGATGATATATGTTTGTGTGTATGTGTGTACATGTAGATGAGAATTTGGCTGATCAGAAGAATAAGATTGCGAGTTTATTTTCCAACTTTGAGAAGCTGAATTTACAACTTGTAAGCACTAGATTAAAACAAGAATATAGGAAATTAGAAGATACAAAATTAAGATCAGCAAATCAAATTGAAAAGGCAGCCGACGCGAAGAGCGCCACACATGTTCACACAAAATGATTATTGCGCCGCTAC